ACTTGGGACCTTCTGCATGGCCAAGCTGGTGTTCTGTCACTGAGCTATAAGACAGCCAACAACCTGGAGGGAGAAAAGGCTCTGTTCCTTTAAATGGAGCGTAAATGGCTGTCATTTACCAGGTGATGTTATTTACCTCCAAAGCGTCAGTTACTTATTTCCACACATTTTTCACCAGGCTGTTGGCAACCCTCCTGAGCTACAGCCTTCTCCCACCCCCCCATTAAAGACACACTAGCCCAGCTGTGGCGGCTCAAGTGGTTAAGACGCTGAACTGCAGGCTGTGGAAGGTTAGTAGTTCAGCAGTTCGAGACCCGAGTGTGCCGCATGACGGAATGAGCTCCCGTCTCTAGTTCCAGCTCCTGCCAACCTAGCAGTTTGAAAGCAAGAAATTGCAAGTAGGTACCACTTGGCTCAAGTGGTTAAGACGCTGAACTGCAGGCTGTGGAAGGTCAGTAGTTCAGCGGTTCAAGACCCGGGTGCCGCAAGTCAGGGTGAGCTCCTGTCTCTAGTTCCAGCTCCTGCCAACCTAGCAGTTCGAAAGCAAGAAATTGCAAGTAGATAAATAGGGACCACTTCAGTGGGAAGGTAACAGCGTTCCGTGCGCCTTGGTGTTTAGTCATGCCGGCCACATGACCACGGAAACGTCTTCGGACAGGGCTGGCTCTTCGGCTTTGAAATGGAGATGATCACCGCAACCCTAGAGTCGGATTCGACTGGCTTTTGAGCAGGGGAACCTTTACCTTTACTAGCCCAGCTTTGGTTTTTTTTTTTTTAAAGTTGGCAACTTTAACCTTCAACACACCTCATTTTTTCAACCCGATCATTTAGAGCTCTTCAGCCTTGTCATATTCTCAGTTTTTATCTGTATGTTTGCAAAACTTGCAACGTACTTTGTGGGTGGCTCTTCCTTCCCTAAGCCAAATCTGGGTTTCTCAGTGGCACCTCTCCTCAAACTGCAGCATACCTGCATCACACCTTCTGGGGGTGTGTGTGTGTGTGTGTGTAATCTCTGGTTTAGTGTCTTCACGAAAGTGACAACCGTTGCAATGCAGCATCCAAATGGAAGCGGGCTGGCAGGGTCCTGTCTTCGCATCTGCCTTGCTGATTGGCCAGGGTCTGCCTTGCTCCCACCACACGGATAAGCCTCCTCCTGCTTTCTCTCCAAGGGGAGTGGAGGGGAGAAGATGCTGATGTTGCTTCTTCTACAAGGAGGAGATGCTCCATTAAGCCACCTTTCCCCTGCCTGGAATTCTCCTGGGATGTCCTGGATTCATTGGAAAAGAAAATGACTGCATCAGGTCATCTGAGGGAACACATGACACGACAGGGTGCAGAGAAGGGAGGGACAAAGGCAGCTGACCCTCTGGAGAGCAGTTCTCTGCTTTCAAAAAAACAACAGCTTTGCTCTCCACTTCAGACTTCTGTGGCTTTTATGAAGCGTAGGTATGTTCATATGATCCATAACTATCTACCTGGGACCAGTGTTCCCTCTAAGCGGAGTTAGTGTGAGACAGCTCACAGTTTTTTAGCCTCCGGATCACACATTTTTGTCTTCGCTCAGGAAGGAGGGCTCCAGAGCAAACCAGAATATGCAGTAGCTAAATGGCTCACTCACAACTTTAATGCCAGCAACTCACAAAGTAGAATTTTTGCTCAGCTTAGAGGGAGCATTGCCTGGGACCATCCCTGTTTTTTTTTTTTTAATTAATTTGTTTTGTTTTTATAACCCTTCTTCTTAGCAAAAAGCTGTTCCTATTTTGCCATTTGGAGGGAATGTTCTTGTATTGGGAGTTGACAGAGTCGTAATTCTTCAGAGTTTAGCTCCCTCTCAAGGCTCTGTACTTGAGAAGTTAAATCTTGAACTGTGGACAGTACTCGCACCCTGAGCCAGCGTGGTGTAGTGGTTAGAGTGTCGGACTTGGATCTGGGAGAACCGAGTTTGAATCCCTACTCTGCCATAGACCTTGGGTGACCCACTCACCCTCTCTTAGCCTGACCTACCCTGTGGAGTTGTTATGAGGATAAAATGGAGGAGAGACAACTCAAGTCAGCCTTTATTGGCATAAATTATCAGAACCATTTATACATTTTAAAACCAGTTGAAAGCACATATATAAGAATTCTAAAAGAACCTTTGGCACAGCTTTAAAGCCAAGCAGAGAAACTTAGCCACCTTCTCTGTAATGTCCGGGCAGAGATCTCTTAAAAGTCTATTCACCTTAAGTGCATCAGAACAAACACCCATACTGCTTAAAAGAGATTGTAAACATGTGATCCTTAAGTCCATATACAGGTTACAATGCAGGATAACATGAGTGATAGATTCCACGCATTTCTTTCTGCATGGACAGTATCTGGCCAGATGAGAAACCTTGTTGAATCTGCCGAATAAGATGGTGGACGGTATGGCGTTGCGTCTGGCCAGGGTGAACGCTCTACGTTGTTAAGGGACCTGCAGAGAGGATAGATACGCAGCCATCATCCCTGTTGTAAGGGGAATCTCAAAATTCAAGGGGGAGCAGGTTTTATTGGCTAAACTATATAAATTTTGGCGCTCCGAGTCTAACAACCTGTTTTTAATCTGTTGGAATGCAACCGCAAAAGGCAACATGGACAGGGATTCGAAAGAGAGACCCAATACTTTGATTTTCCCTTCAATACATGCTGACCAGTTTGAAAGGTTGAGCTCGGGAAGCATGTGATGTATAAGGCTCCCATGTTCAAAGTTATAATGAAGGCGGAGCCAGTATTTGAAGGTTGTAAGCCACGCACAAATTTCCATCAGGGACGAGCCAGTTTCCAGATATATGACCGTATTCGGTACACAATTTTGTAGGGCCATGATTTTACGCAGAAATTTAGATTGGACTCGTTCAATGGCGTGGTGAAAAGGAGAGACAAATGGTATAAGCTGGTTGGGGTCCCAACTGGGGGAAGAGGCGGGGTGTAAATTAAGTAAATAAATAAATAAGCCTAGGATAAAGGAAAGATGAGAATGCCTCTCATTTTGCCAAAGGCTACAGTCTGAGGCATGCTCATGTCCGAGTCCACACCCATCGGAGAAGGCTGTCAGCATTTGCTCCAGTCGAAATTCTTGGGTTTGCTTGTTTTTTAATGGCTGGAGAGGTGTTGGTTTCTGAAGGCAGTGCTGGACAGCATCTTCACAGCAGTTCTTCTCTGCCTTCACCACACAGCTGGAGTGGTATTTTGGAGAGCTTCCACGTGATATCACCATCCAATTGCCCGCTTTCCACTTTTTCCTCTGCTTTGATCCAATCTTTCCCAAACTTGCTTTGCTGTGATCTTTCTGGACAGATCACAGTCCAAGTGGGTGAGCATGCTGTCGGGATGCCCTGCCGCCCTCCCCAGTGCTGTTTCACTGCTCTCATCCCTTTGTGGGGTTTGGGTAGGGTTGCTAACTTTGAAACTGGTCCTGCAAGCAGCCCCTTTAAGATCACTTTGATCCATGGCAAATGCCAGGTGTGGACATTCTCTCCAGGCCATGAAAAGCTCCTGACAAGGACTTCTGGTGGCGCATGAAGAAAATGGCTGCCTGAACCTACAGCTGGACCCTCCCTCAGGAGCAATCCCAAGTCCTGCTTTATGGGGAAAGACGGCGGAACAGTAACACAACCGAATCCTACAAAAATCAAAAAGGTACAAACCTTCTTCGCTTCACAATCCTCCATGTCTAGATCAGGCCAGTGCCTCACTCTAGCTGCCAAAATGGTGCCTGGCACAGACGGGACTGATAAATTTGCGTCACCAGTAACTTCAATGGATCTAACCACAGCATTAACTAACCTAGAAAAAAACGATACTTGAAAACATCTCTTCTATGTAAACCCTTGTATGAGCAACTTGAAGCGATGCAAAAAAGCATTCATGACACTAAAAATATTGCTGAAAGTGCCATGAACACGTCTTGCTAATCAGAACGAGATACAACAGCTTCAACAGATGGAAGACATTCTGGCAGAGAAAGCATTGAAGATGGACCTATCTTTCCATCAAAATAATTTGAAACTACGGGGTCTAGCAGAGAAAATCAGGGGGAAAAGGGGAGACTTGGGCATACTGGTGTCAGCTAGCTGCCATTGTATCTGATATTACCTGCTTCACATGTCTTGTGCTCTCCCCTCCCCCTGGGTGTAGACTGCTTTCTTCTGCTTCCCTGTATTTTGCGGAACTGGCCAAGGTCGTGCAGCTGGTGGTGGGAGTCGGAGCTTCGCTAAGCTTGTTATGGTTATCTTGTTATGGTTATCTACCCTGTGAACTGAACCTGTGTTGATGGTACTGAACTGTTACGTTCCCATGGAATAGGCGCGCATTTCCCAGTTCTATTCCCGCCAGCGGGAACTGGCCTCATTGGCCCAACGTGGTTCAAATCCCTTTATCATGCTATACCTGTGTATTGGTAGTCATTCCTTTCAATGTCCTTGTTCCTGAACCATCGCTTTGAAATAAACCTTGCTTTGAATTAAACGTGGAGTTATTTCGAATGCCTGGGGATCCAACATTCCGTGTGTGGATCAGGGAGGGCGATGAAGGGAAGACTGCGTTCAACACCCCCTGGGGCAATTTGAGTACTTAGTTATGCCGCTCGGGCTTCAAGGGGCTCCGGGGGTCTTCATGAACTTGATTAATGAGGTCTTACATGAATATTTGTTTAAGGGCGTGCTTATTTACTTGGATGACATTTTGGTGTACTCACAAGATCTCCCCTCCCATGTCAAATTGGTTCGAATAGTACTCAAGACGTTACATAAGCACAAACTGTTTGCTAAGCTTTCCGAATGTGAATTTCACCAATCACACATTGACTTTTTGGGCTACCGTATCTCTGGGGGAGGGTTGGAAATGGATCCGGGGAAAATCAAAGATGTAGTTGATTGGGAACCCCCCAAAACCAGGAAGCAACTACAAGCGTTCTTAGGATTTTCCAATTTTTATAGATTTTTCATCAAAGGTTTTGCCCAAATAGCGCTTCCACTCACTGCAGACGCAACGAAGCCGGGGGCTCCGCTGAAGTGGACGCCTGAATGTGCGGCAGCGTTTAACAAACTGAAAGGCATGTTCACCTCTGAACCGATTTTGGCCCACCCCGATGAGTCGAAAAAATTTATTGTTCAAACTGACGCGTCGGATGTTGCTATGGGAGCGGCCATCCTCCAGCAAGGGGATGACAGTAAATTACACCCGCTGGCGTTTGTGTCTAAAAAATTTTCTGATGCTGAACGCCACTGGAGTGTGTGGGAGAAGGAAGCTTTGGCGATTCGGCTCGCTCTTTCCACGTGGCGCCATTGGCTGGAGGGGGCAAGGGTCCCGTTTGAAGTGTGGACTGATCATAAAAATCTTGAGACTCTTAAATCCCTTCGCTCTCTCAACGCCAAGCAATTGAGGTGGGCGGATTTCTTTTCCAAGTTCCAGTTCACTTTGCATCATTTCCCCGGGTCTTCTAACTCGCTGGCTGATGCCCTGTCCCGCCTCCCGCAACATGAGAGCCAACATGAGGTCATTATTGACTCGATCTTCACTCCCGCCCAGTTGGGAGGGGCTGTTGTAACGAGAGCGCAAGCAGCAAACTTCCCACGCCAGCCTCATCTCCCCTTTCTCATCCTCCGGCCCCTCTGCCTCCGGATTGGGGGGGGCGCTACCGTGCTCATTTCTCCAAGGAAGATTAGGAGGTCCTTGCTACGTTGCAAGGCTGCATCCGCAGCCCGGAGGGGTTGGTTTTTTCTGACAATAAACTTTATGTGCCTGTTTCTCTCCGCAGGGAAGTTCTGCAACTCGCTCACGGTTCTAAGTTGGCGGGACATTGGGGTTTCGTTAAATGGATTTTAGCCTTTCCCCACTAGCAATTTACAGTGATATGGCAACTGTAATGCAGAGACCATTAGATCGCAAACATCCCAAGGCTTAGTTTCATGTGTTCATTCTTCTTTCTTTCTTTTTTTAAAAAAAAGTAAATGAAGGAAAGTGCTACTGCATCAAGAGGAAGAATAGACCATAAAATTAGAATTTAAAAATGATCAAGAGCTTGGATTAAATTTCTTTCACTCCTTCCCCCCTCCCTTTCTTTGCTGTAATCTTTGTCACTGAAATACAAATGTCATGAATGTGAGAATAAAGCATCTTGGGCATTAGGCTTCAATGATAGCTCATTCACATGACAATGGCTGTGCTGAGAACAGAACATTTCACAGAATGGAGCTATTCTTGTGGCAAAGATTATAATGACAGGGAGAAACGGTGCAAAATTAACCAATTCTTGCATCTTCAGAGAGTAATCTTACAAGCCTCCTTGTGCGCTGTATAATGAGAGGAGACGAAAGTACGGTCTGCCTTCCAGAACAATGAAAGTTAGCAGCTCATCCAAGCTGTGGGGAGCCTGCAGTTGAAGGAACCACCACCAGTAGGTGCCACTGCAATCAACTAAAAATGCCTAAGTGGTCACAGAGGAGCTACGGCTATACTACAACAACATAACAGAAATTAAGAAAAGAGGAAATTTGTTATACACTGTCTCATGTATTTGTTTCTTTTTTCAACATTGAATATATCATCTTTTCATCATCTGTTGTCACTGTTCAGGGCCAGAACAAAGGGACTGTGGAACTAGCTTTTTTGAGCCACAACCCACATCTTTGCAGGTGTACAGAGGGAACTTATTCTTCTCTCTCTCTCTCTCTTCTTGCCACAAGGTGGATCAGATGGAACCTTTGGCTAAGGATGAGAAGACTATCCTCTGAAGTTAGAGGCCACAATCAGGTGCAGTGGGTATGACTCTTGGCCTATTTGATTCCACAGTTGTAAGTACGTGCAGATCTTTATTGGGTTACAGCTAAAGCTGGCAAAGAAGAGATAGCAACGAAATTGGTCAGTGCTTTGTCGGTACACTGTCAGCTAGCTGCCATTATATCTGCTGTTACCTGTTTCACATGTCTTGCACTTTACCCCCCCTCCCTTGAGGTTTTGTAGCTTCATTCTGCTTCCCTGTATTTTGCGGAACTGGCCAAGGTCGTGCAGCTGGTGGTGGGAGTCGGAGCTTCGCTAAGCTTGTTATGGTTATCTTGTTATGGTTATCTACCCTGTGAACTGAACCTGTGTTGATGGTACTGAACTGTTACGTTCCCATGGAATAGGCGCGCATTTCCCAGTTCTATTCCCGCCAGCGGGAACTGGCCTCATTGGCCCAACGTGGTTCAAATCCCTTTATCATGCTATACCTGTGTATTGGTAGTCATTCCTTTCAATGTCCTTGTTCCTGAACCATCGCTTTGAAATAAACCTTGCTTTGAATTAAACGTGGAGTTATTTCGAATGCCTGGGGATCCAACAACTGGCTAGCTCAAGAGGTGAAGGCTGACAGGGACCTAACGCCAATTATCACCAAGGCATTTCATGTTGGCCCTTTAAGAATCTCAAAGACGCGACCCTCCAGAGGCGTTATAGTCACCTTTTTAGATCTACGCTATCAAAAAAAAAAAAGATTTTCACAACAGCAAGACAAAGAGGCTATCTTAACTGCCTTGGAGACAAAATTGAGATTTTCCCAGACCTTCCAAGAGAAGCTCTCCTAAAAAGGTGGGAAATGAAGCCTATTACTACGCGCCTTTTAGAAGCGGACGTTAGATACTCCTGGACCTCACCACCTGTTCTGCAGATCTCCCACCATGGCAAAACACACAGGATCTCCTCCCTCAATGAGGGATTCACTCTGCTTTGCTCTCTAGATCTGGCAACCCCGATGGAACTCTCGAAGAAATGTTTCAAGAGAAAGTTTCAGTCTCCCTCACCCCCACCAGCTGAGACACGGGAACTTCACAGATCATCACCATGAAGCTGACCAAGACATCTTAATGAGTATACCTAGCACTGCATATGGTTTACACTGTTGTTTTATTGCTCTGTAGTCTGGGGGGAGATGGTTTGCTGTTTTCTTCTATACATGGTCTAGCTCACTATTAATAGTTACAGACAAGGTATTGTTTGACTGCCATAATGGTTAAGGTTCCAAAATGGTTACAAGTTTGTTTTATTCTTGCTAGTTCAAAGCCTTTCTAAGTGTTTCGGGGTTAATCTCCCCCTGTATAGTTTCCTACAGAGGGGATTGTTCAAATTCTTGCTATTTCTCTTTATATTTTTACTAAATGAGGGTTTGGGGTGGTGGTCAGATTGCTTTGGTTCTTTTAGTCCTAATTGATTTTGTTGGCTCTCAGGTTAGTGCACTGGGGAAGACAAATAATAAAAACCCCAGCCTCCTGCAAAACAGACTTTATTGCAGGAGTGTTGAGAGTCATTATATAGTGTTAATTTTTACATATTGTTTTACCGCCATATTGACTGTCAGATTTTATAGCTGATTCTCTTACTCATTGATTTTTATAAATTAATTAATTGGAAATTTGATTGTTAGTAAAAAGGTAAAGGTTCCCTTGCTTGAAAGCCAGTCAAGTCCGACTCTAGGGTTGCAGTGCTCATCTCCGTTTCAAAGCCGAAGAGCCAGCGCTGTCCGAAGATGTTTCCGTGGTCATGTGGTCGGCATGACTAAACACCAAGGTGCACGGAATGCTGTTACCTTCCCACCAAAGTGGTACCTATTTATCTACTTGCAATTTCTTGCTTTCGAACTGCTAGGTTTGATTGTTACTTCGTTACATAATCTGGTGCTTCTACTAAATTAATTCTGATTTGATTGTTTCCCTGATGAATTTTTTCTGATTCTCTCCTTTAATTAATTGCTATACATAGCCTCTGATCTATCTGAACACTTCTTAAAGAGTGACTGCAATCTTCAACACTTCTCCTTCAATTTTATTGTGTCTGACAATACATTCACTCTGCTAAATTGTTTAGGAAAGCCAACATTGGAAATCACTTTTTCGCTTCTTCTTGGTAAGAAGAAGATTTCACCGTTTAAAACATATACAGATAACCTGTGATAGGTTATCAATTCAACAATACACACACTATTTTTGAACATATAGATACCCTGGCCAAAGGTTTGCCTATAAATCTTGACTAGAACTTACCTTCTTTCTAGAGTATCACAATTCTTTTATCTGTCAGAAGCCTAGATCACCTATCTATTACTCGAACACAACTCGAACTCACAGCTACCAGACTCAACAGAAACCTATCTCTTACAGTCATCTTAGATAGATATTAAGTACAATGTCTACAGTTTTTAAAATAATCTCTTCAAATGTACGCGGGCCGAACAGTGTTATCAAAAGAAAATATATAGTGCTATTGCAATAAACTCATTTGAGGAATAACTGAACAACTAGTGTTCCACTCTAACAAATTCCAGAATCAATATCTAGCATCCGGCAGCTCAAAGTTGAGGGGTGTGGTGATTCTTTTAAACCATAATTTACGTTTTACACTATCTGCAAAACTTACATGGCAGATTCCTCTTCATAAAAGGCCATCTGGACACTTGCCCAGTCACCATCGCACCCCATAATGGGCAATTGGAATTTATTCAGGACACTTTAGCTAAACATTTACTGAAGGCAACATTTTTCTTGGAGGGGATTTCAATTTCATTATTGACAACACACTAGACAGGTCTCACCACAACCTAGGCAAAAAACACCACAAAAAATTACTCACCAAACTTGATACTATTCTACAGAATCACAACCTTATTGACATCTGGCGTTTATTACACCAGACAGAAAAAGACTATACATACTTTTCTGTGCGCCATAATGTCCACACCAGGATTGATCTCATCTTATTATCCTCTTCTCTGCACAACCGTGTTCTTTCCTCCTCAATTGAACCATTCCAATGGTCAGATCATTCTTGACTAGAATGTCACTTGGCATCCCATAATAATACAACACCCAAAAGACAATGGTCTTTAAACATATCTTTATTAACCAATCCAGCATTTAGATCCGAAACTGAACAACACATTAAGCTATATTTTACTGAAAACAATCAGGATAATCTTTCTCCCTCGATCCAATGGGATGCCATGAAGCCAGTACTCAGAGGAATATTGATCTCCAAAGCCACATACCTGACACAACAAAGACAAAAGTTAGAGCTTACCTTGAAG